AATAGTATAGTATCAGGCTTGAGGTTGATTTGATCTAGAAACTTGAGCTCAAGCTTGACTCGATTCATAGCTCGTAAGTTYGAGCTCGGCTCGGCTCGAGCTCGACTATAAACCAAGTTGTTTTTGAAAAATAAAAATTATATGTATAAAATTATTTTTTTATTTTCAAACAAAAAATTAAGAATTATAAAAATTATTTACTATTATACATAAAAAATAAAAATATTATTATATATAATAAATATTATTTATTATATATAATATATATGTATGTATGTATATATATAATAAAAATTATTTATTTAATACTAGGCTCACGAGCTGAACTTCACTAGGCTCGAATTCGGCTCGAAGCTTGGTTTAAATTGAGCTGAGCCGAGCTCGAATAGATTGTGAAAGGCTCGGCTCGTGGCCACCCCTAGGCTTGGCAATGAGATGAGTAGCACTTTAGAATGGGGTTTAAATTATATTACAATTACGGGGTATTAGTGATGCTACCCCTAAATTTATATAATCCATTTTCTTTATTTTAATACCAAAAAATAGAAAAAAGAATCAACACAAATTATTGACATTTAAAAAGTTCCGTTTGTTTGCAATTCAAATATAAACCATGTGCTAAATTTGCAGCTAGTTCACATTTGCATTTACACCCTTACCTAGGTTCAGTTAGGAAAGAGTACAAATATAAATATGTACAGTATAAATACATACAAAATATAAGGTTTTGCACATTTGCATTTGTACTCTTTTCAAACTGAGCCCTAATGTAAAATTTGTGCTTTTAGATTGTGTTTGGTTGTAGTGCAATTTTATCTGCACTAGTACAAATGTATGGGAGTGCAAATGAAAAGAATGCAAATTCTGGTTTAAATTTGTTTTGGGTTTTACTTTATTTTGCTTCATATCTTGATTTATTTCATGTGTATTGCAATCAAACCAAATAAGGTAATTTTGAAATAAAATTAAATCATAATTTGCACCAAAATCATTTGCACTGCCACAGTTTTGCATCAGTACAAATAAATTTGCATTGCAAGCAAACACAGCCATAGGCTTATTTTGGAAGAAGAACAAATACAAATATGTAAAGTGCAAAACCTTATGTCACCTATTATTTTTTATGAATTTATACTCTTTCCAAACTGAGCAATAGGATTCATTTACATATATTAGTTGTGCTTTTGCACCACATTCTTCCTACCTTTATTTTCTTCATATAAACTGTGGGTCACATCAATTTACTTTTTACTTTACTCCTTCCAAACAAACAACCTTCTTGCTAAAACTAGATGAAAAAAAACAAATAATTAATTAAAAGAGGATGAAAATTTATTTCTGCCATCAATTTACAACATAAGGAGAAAAATTAGTTGGTCTTGTCTCAAAAAAAATAAAAAACATGTTTTTAAAATAAAAACAAATTTTATAATGTAGAAATTATATGATATTAAATAATCAGATGAAAACATGTTTTTGAAAACATAAATTCAATAGCATGGTTTTGGTTTCAGTTTTGAATAGAAAAGACACCTACTTTGTGTATTTGTTTTGAAAATCAATATGTTTTCAAATCAGGTGATTTTGATTATTTTTGGAACTAACAGGAAGAAAAACAATTCAGGTTGTAAAACGCTCCTTAAACAATCATGACTCCTGGTTTTATTATATATATATACATTTTTTTCTTAATGAGATTGCCAACATTAGAGCCTAGTTCAGACCCGGGTCTGATTGTCCTAGACCTCATTAGAAACGCAGTTTGAGCCTGGAGCCTGGACCAGACCTGAACCCAGTAGACATTTCACAACCTAACCCAACTTCACATTTAAAAAAGAAACAAAGATGTACAGAAGAAACTCTATTGCTTTTCCTCGTTACTTTGGAACAGGAAGAAATTAAAATTATTAAAATTGAAATGACTCCGATTAACTTTCCTTTTTCATGATCAATTGAATAGCATTCTCGTAATTTTGACTTGTGAAAAATTATAATATAAACAAACTATATGCAGTTATTATGTAGTAACATCTCACATAATACTGTCAAAGTTTTTACAGATGATGATGGTGGAGATACAAATAACAATGCAAAAGCTAGCGCAAAAAGTCCCCGCGCCGGTACAAAAAAGAGAGAGGAGCTTTTCAAGAGGTGGAAGTGAAACGATCAATGATGGTCGTGTGAAGTGGGTCGCTCAAGTGCGTAGCCCAGTTGTTGACCGGACCTTTACCGGTGACTGCGGCTTGCACGGCGAAGCCCAGGAACGCAACCATGGCCAGACGAGCATGCTTGATCTCCGCCAACTGGAGCCTCGATTTCTTCTCCGGGTCGGCGGCCAAGCCGAGAGGGTCGAAGTACTTCCCACCTGGGTACAACCTCTTTTCTGGGTCGAGCTCTGCGTTCCTCTGGAACTCAATGTATCCGACCAGTAGAACTTCAATCCATATCAATGTGGATAGTGAGAATGGAAGAGGAAGGCCAAGGTAGGATGATCCCTCCACCAACTCAACCTGTAAATTACCATCACAAATCAATTTTCAGAAATGGGTCCAACCATTTTGGCAGGATTTCCTCTAGAAGTTGGAATGTGACTATGAGGCCTACCTTTCCGGCATCTTGCCAGGTAACGCCGGTGAGGGCTTCAACGGCGATGGCACCGAGTGTGCCCAGCATGGCCCACCGGCCATGAATGAGTTCACACTCGCGGAATCTTTGCAACCCAAACACCTCGCTGTAGGGCTGGAATGGAGTCGACTTCACATCTGAGCTCTCGGTCCGAGTTCCTATTATATCACCAGCCAGGTTCTTCGCTAAGTTCTGGTCCAACGAGTCCAAATCGAACTGCAAGTACTCGACGGGTTTCCCCAGTCCGAAAGGGTCGAATCCGAAGTCACCAACCATGCTTCCATCGAGCCACTCGGGGGCTTTCGCACCGGGGAACCAAAGCGGTCGGTCCGAAGTCGGCTTCGACGGCGCGGTCTTCTTCGGCGGAGGAGATTTCTTCGTGCCGAACGGCAACCCGAATCTGGCCTGGAACTTGCCGGAGTTCGTGTGCACGTCGTGAAGGCGAGTTCCGAGGAAGGAAGAAGTCGCGGCGGCTGTGGCGGTGGCCATTGTCTGACCTCTGACGTGCGGCTCGCGACGGTGGTGGTGGTGGGTACTCGGTGGAGTGGTGGGTTAGCGTTGGAATTATATTTTGGTGATCCTATGAGGTTATGTGGTCTATCCACGATGTAGATAGGTGACCGTTGGATGTAAAGAAGGTATCCATCTGACGGATGTGAGAGTCTCGGCCTTATCTTTGCCTTATCTGTTGATTCTGCGTAGCCACGCCGGTGGCCGATGTTCCAGTAGCTGTGCACGTTATGTGGTGTTTCTCTGTGGTTGGCATTGCATGGCAAAATCTTTTAACGTGGCCACTGTTTTCCCACATTGTTACCCGATTTTATCTCTCATTCATTCGTGTGGCTGTCAATGGATCGGATCAAGAACTGGGTTTGACGATCCAATTCCAAATTATTCGGATAATTCGGATCATAATCAGTAATAAGTATTGGTATAATTAATATGATACCGAAAACGTTTGTGTGTGTCACCGGGGTAAATTTATGATGCCGGAAAGTTATGATACCGAACTTTTATCACCAAAACCCTCCGTGTCAATTTTGATGAATATCACATGATCGATTATACTGGCTATTGATTAATTATAAGCATATCAATACCTTAACACAAAGGGGGCGCCCCACAACGTCCCACAGCACATTTCGGTAGTGTATTAGAAACATCTCTCAATGATGGTATTAGAATCGATGATGTCATTATCAAGAAATGTTCTTAATACACGACAGGAATATACTATGGAATGTTGTAAGGGCACAGATTTGAATTCCTTTAAACAATAGGCATAAGTGAGCCTTGGTTACAAATTAGCCAACCCAAAATAATTATGGTAATAAGTGGCTAGATAAAATGTAATAGGTAAAAAAATTAGTGAAGAAGTATGAACAAGTTTTTAATTTTTTTTAAAAGTATATAATAAAAATTTGTTGCCCTAATTTTTTATCCCATACTTCAAAATCAAAATTATTTACGTATTATTATTAATTTTTTCAACCTATTCGTGTTTTTTCCATACCTTCGAAAATATAAAATTTGAGGCCTTTTCTTTAAAAAGAATCTAAAGAAGTTGAAAATTGAAACATATTACATTTTCGGTATCTATTGATTAATTATCTTCGGGTGGTTTCTCTTTCTCAAAATGAAAAGGTAAAAATAAGTTTGGCTTAATGATACATAATATCATGCCATGGAAATTGGAACGAAAAACAACATTTTGCTAAATAATGTCCTAATTTATTTTTTTTGGAAAATAAAAACATTGGGAATTCTAAGCTGCTTAAAGGTAGGGGTGTCAATGGACCGGTTTTGGATTGGACTCCATCCAAATCAAAATCCATTTGGATGGATTGGACGGACCAATAAGACATATTGAATTTGGACAGATTAGACGAACCAATATGACATATTGGATTGGACTTGGTCCGTTGATAGAAGATAAAGAACATAGGTGTCAATGGACCAGGTTTGAATTGAAACCAATCTAAATTAACAGGAATTTGAACAGATTGAATAATCTCTGGGTCAGTCCAAAATGGTCCAAAATATTCATTGGAATGGATTGGACCAGGTCCATTTGTAATGGATTCACATTGAACTAGACCAGATTGGACCAAATCCAGTCCAATTAACACCCCTACTTAAGGAATGCATTAGGTAACCCATAACCCTTATACTGCTACAACTTAGCTACCATAATTGAACTTGCCTGAAAAATTAAATGTGAGCTCTACTTGAAGATTTTTAACACAAAAAATCCATTCAATTGTATAAGTTTACTAATTAACCTGTTTGATGATTATAGTCCAGAGACATCTATTCAAGCTATATAGTGTTTATGCAGAGTGGTCTAATCTATACTAATATTAAAAGTGTGAAATTTTTGTTTGATTAAAATACCCTAATTTTTTAATTTGATCCATCTCTAAATATATGAATAGAAATATAATTTGAATAACCGCTTTTTATTCATTCAAATCCCTCTCATTAAGTCTTATATTCAAGGTATTTACTAATCCTTTATTAATTAACCATACTAAAGAAATAAGGCCATGTTTGAGAGTGCTTAAGTTAAAAATAAATGCTTATCAAACAAACACTTATTTGCATTTGGCACCCAACTTTTTCAAGTGCTTATTTTATTTTATATTGGGTATTTGGTAGTTTTATCTCTAACAAGCACTTAAATAAGCATTTGTGACTGTTTTGTCATTCATTTTCTTTCAAATTTTCAAAATATACCCTTTGAGAACACTTTTATTAAATTACTTTTATAAAAACACTTTTATTAAATTACTTTTATAAAAACACTTCTATAAAAGTACTTTTATAAAAGTATTATCCATTGTATACACCACAGATATATGGGTTTATGATAAGATCCATTGTATACGCCATAGATATATGGGTTTATGATAAGATCCCTAAACCAGTGGCTGTCATTGCAAGAGTGTTCAAGATTTTTGTGTAATCATACATTTCTCAATGTATATCACCAATTGATCATATACGTGATTGACAATAATATTATTAGAAAATTAATCTTGTCATGCTATCAAAATCATCAAGAAATTAAGAATTAGTTGGATGATCCTATTACATTGCTGGTAGGGTGGCAACTTTTTATCCATTCCTTTTAACACACTCTACCAAGTACTCACCCTTTAGATAGGGTTTAGATATGGATTGAGTTGTTAGAGAATAAAAATCTATCAAGGACCTTACTTAACAAATTAAGTTTTTATGTTGGATGGTGTAATGGTTTATTGGTTTGGTATTAATGTCTCTTTTTGACCAAACATTCTTGTGTTTGATTTGATCTTCATCACCCCTATTATAATTAATTAAGTTTCAACAAAAGGTATGGGTGAACCTGTACTTATCCATGCTTCAAGCCTAATAAGCTTTTACCTGAGGGGACGTGTTTGAAAATAAAAACCTATTCAGGGACCTCAACCTTTGAGGTTGGATCAATCCCTACATGATACTATTGATTTTTGAAAATATAGGCTCTATTTGTTCGAGTGCCATTTTATTTTCACTAATACAAATGCATGCATGAGAGTGCAAAGGAGAAAAATGTAAGTTCTGGTTCACTTTTGCTTTGGATTTTACTTTACTTTCAGATTTTATTTTATTTTATTTCATCTGCAATGCATTCCAAGAAAATAAGACAAAAGATCAAACAAAAAGAAATCAGAATTTGCACTCAAATCCTTTACTCTCATAGCCAGGCTATAATGCAAGGTTTTTAAACTCGAACCAGACAATGAACCGGTCAGGGGTCCGGTTCCTGGGTTGAATGGTCTGACTGGTTGAATCGAACAGATGGCTCGCTTTAACAAAAAAAAGGCCAAACCATTGGACGGTTTGACAGCCAGAGTCAGCGGTTTACTGACCAAATCAATATTTTTTGGCAAAATAACAGTTCTGGGGTAAAATGGAACCAGTCACCTGACTGGTTCCCAGTTTTTCTGGTCCGATCCAATTTTGAAAACCATGCTATAATGTCAAAATATAGTATAACTTATTTGCAAAGTAAAACATGTAAAACAGTAAAAAGAAAAAAGAAAAAAGAAAAAAGCTGCTCCAGGTGATCTAAGGGAGTAAATACTAAATACTTATAATTTACAGAGTCATCAGTGGGTACTAATAGCAACTCGATTCTCGACATATCTGATGGAAGTTTAGGTTTGCGCATTACACAGCACACATCAATCGGATTTTAGTTGAGTTGGGCCTACGAATGTCTGGTTCCTAATGGACCGGATTATCCCATCATGGGCCCCCTTCTTCCACGGCACATAGAGTAGGATTGGTTACCTGCTTGATATTTTTCCGGGTTAGGATCAATCACTATCAAACCTGTCCAAACTTCAGCAAACCTCCTATCCTAAATCTCCTTTTAATTTATTTCTCTTGATGGCTAAAGATTATATAGACTGAAAGATTGAAACAGCTGAACCATTGATCCCACTCCCAACGGTTCTATTCTATTCTGATATACTGGTCAGACTTGGACCGGATGAAAAACTGGAAACTCAATGGGTGATGGTATTATTGGTTCCATTTGATTTGCTAGAAGAATATGGATCTGAAATCAGAATATTCTAACTATTTGGTTTGATGGAATTAGAGTCCAATTCTCATTCTTGATGAAATGACATTTTCTCATTTGAGGGATGATCATTTTCTCCTGTTCTCTCTCTCTGTTAAGAATGAGAATCCCATTCCAACTGATTTCTATTTCAATTCTGGTCTGAACCAAATAAGGGGAGAATATATACTGTTCAACTGCTGACTACGAACCAAACGTGAGTAGAGTCATCGGTTCAGCTGTCCGGTGTCCAAATCTGACAACACTTGGCCTAAATGCCCATGACTATGTCTTCAATATGACCTCTCACCAACCACTAGGTTAATAGATGGAGATGGGTTTTGGACTGAATGTCTTCTCTATCTCCAATTTGTGGGTTTCGGTTGATGAAACAAAGCACAAATGAAGAGCCTTCGTTTGCCAAGTGCTCACATGCTTGATACAATATACCATTTTAATATATGCACTTTATCATGTATTAAGAAGATACAATTTGTCCATTCAAAGGGTGTAAACAACTACCTACTCTCTCTCTCTACACTTCAACTTAAAAATTATGGTGGCCCCCTCGTGTGCGTCAGACTCACTAATTCCATTTATGGATTAATAAAGCATGCAATCGATATGATAATATGACTTGTGTTATCTCAGCTTAATTATTCTAAATTTTTTACTTATATTATCTCAACTTATTCAAAATTTTCTTGGAGTATTAATATTTTTTTCATAAATTATTGAAATAAACTTTGATGTATGGTAACTATAATGAGTATGAATAAAATCAAATTGTTGACAAATAAAGGGGGTGTTTGACAATATGGTAAGCAGAATTTTAATTTGCTGATGTCAGAGTCGTTTTTTGTTTTCAAAAACAAAATAAACCTTGTTGTCGAACACTCCTAAAAGGGTGCTTTATAACATGAACTATTTGTTTTTGAAAATGCCATATCAGTAAAACAAGTTCTT